AAGCAAACAACAGATAAAACAACAGATAAAAGAGAAACGGTACACAGAGGATGAAGAGGGCAAAACGGAGTGCAGTATGGAGCCACTTCAAGTTGGTCAATGACGACAACGACGCCAAATGCACAATATGTGGAAGTATTTTGAAGTACAACTATTCCACAACTTCGTTGAATTACCACCTAAATATGTCACATTCAGCCGTGCTACAAACAGCGAGTGTTTCTCAGCCTACAATCACAACAGCATTGGGAAGGAGGGTGTGTGACTCCACGAAAGCAGAGGGCATTACCCAGCGAATATGTAACATGGTTACTACAGACATGCTGCCGATAAATGTTGTTGACGGACAGGGATTGCATTTTTTCTTCATATCATATAGAAGATAGCATTCTATGTTACGTATACAGTAGATGGAACCTATTCAGAGGGAAATTCAGCTTCTCAGAAAAATTGCTGCTTAGCAATTAATCGATCATCGATCGATAAGATGAAACAACTATTGATTAATGAATTACTCGATAATTTGCATCCCTAAAACTAACACAATGACCAACTGAGGAAATGAACTAAGCCAAGAACTTAAATACACAAACCAGATTGAGCTAAGGAGGATAGAGGAGAGAAGTATTAACCTAACAACCAATCACAATACGAGCAACAGGTGAAACTAATGAACATGGAGAGATCACAGAACTAGGGAGGTTAAACTAGAAAACACTAATCAAACACTGGAAGTAAAAGACACAAAATACAAGAAGTGCAAAAAAACAAACCCTAACACAGGGAGGGGGGACCACAGAAGGGAGGGAGACCTGAGAGAAAACACTATGAGAACCAAAACCCAAAACTACAAACACTGGGAAACGAAAGTCAAATAAAATCCGGATTGGGATGCGCCGTCCTCAAACCCACAACCCCGCAGGTTTGCAGACTGAGCCGCACACTCAGGCCATTGTGCTGTGCGGAGGTCTGGGGAACAGGGAAAGCACATTAGGGAAGACTAAGAACTAAGACAGAGAGGGGGAAAGGCGAAATGGCCGGCAATGCCTGCTGGCCAAATGGGGAAGCGTCACAGACTAGGGACCCTGAGAGGAACGTCTGGGTTGACAAACTCTGCTTTACATGTCAGCATAAGACCTAAGAATTACCATCTGCCTGTCATGTGCTCCTTCGGTAACTGCCAACATCCACGGGATAACTGCTGTAATACCATTTTCTTCCAGTAAGCGCTGCTGGTGTGTAAGGGGGTGGGAGATTGGGGGTGCATGAGCACCTGCCCATTCTGCCCAAACTATTTAATGTGAAACTGGTGTCCCTTTTTTAACCTGTGGCGGGTGGCACCAGCTTGCACAAGACTGCTTTAATTCAAAATTCAGACATTTGGCTCTAAAACCTTACAGGACATTCATTTGAATAAAAAACACAGTCCTCCAGAGCTTTGATTTAATCACCACTGCAAAAATCCTGAGAAAAGATGAATGTAGCATCAAAACTCTGATTTTTTCTCCTCCATTCCATCAGTCTTATGTCTCAGTCTAAATGTACTGTGCAGAGGTGCAGGGGTGCAGAGGTGCAGAGGTGCAGGGGTGCAGAGGTGCAGGGGTGCAGGGGTCAGTACTACTCACACCTGTAGAGATGAAGGTTTGAGTCTCTGCACTGGCTTCATGTGTGTGGAGCTTGCAAGTTCTCCCCATCATTGTGGTATTTACTTTGTCCAGTTTTCCCCACACAGACCAAAAACATACTGAGGTGAATTGGAATCGTATGTGTGTGTGTGTGTGTGTGCGCGCGCATGGTGTGTGAGTTTCCCCTGTGATGGGCTGGTGCCCCACTCTGGGTTACTCTCTGCCTTATGCCCATAGCCCATCCAGGAGAGGCTCCAGGCCCCCGTGACCCACAAGACAAGCAGGTACAGAAAACGGATGAATTGTGATTAATGGCACTTATTGTTCTTCAATGGAATCTTGTACTTTTAGCAAAAGAAAAAAATTCCCGGGTGAGGATTCCAAGGTGTGCAAACTGAAACGCAGCACGGTTCAGGAGGCACTGAACAGCAAAAAAACAAAGACATTGAAATGCAAAGCTTTACTATCCCTGTGACCCCGCAGCACACGTGCTTCGGAAGTACAACGATACGATCGCGGTGAAAGAACATTAGACAGCCTTTTTCAAGGAACCAAAACTGCCAGCAAGAACACCATTTCCAGTATCAGCCCATAATCGTATGTAGGTCAGTGGGTCGTGGGTTCTCTCACAAAATCAACTGCAATAAAAAGAGAAGAAAATACACATTTCCTGTAATGCAGAAGTGCAGTGAGAGTTTTCTAAACACCCGGACACCTGTAACATTCCCACATCAAGGTGCTTTTGCTGCTTTGTTTTTTCTTCTGATCAAAAATACTGTGCATGACTGAGTACCATGGACTGTCACAGTAGCTGTGAACTCCTCTGTGTAATGATGAACGCCTGGGGACCTAGACCGCATCACCGCACTGAAAAGATGTCATTCACAAGTTGGTGAAGATGGGGGGTGAGAAGGAGGAACGCATCTGCAGCCTGCAACTGCACACTCATACCTGAGCAGAAATGCATTGTCTGCACAAGATTGGCCAAAGCTGGAGACAGAGCAGGACAAAATGCAGGCAATACAAGACATTGAAGCAGGCAAACCAGGGAGTAGCTATGCTGGGTATACTGAACAAACTAGGAATAAGAATAGGCCCTGAACTTTTTCCAGGCGGGCCCACCATACGTATATACCTGAGATAAATTAAAAATTTTGCTGATTGGTTGGCTGAAGTGGGGGGTAGGGTCATGGTGAATTTGGCAGATTCACGGTCCCCTACAGTATTAAATTTCCATCTGGGCACTGGGATGCTGCTGGGAATGCCACTTGGCCATTCCGGGTGTAACTACAAGCAATGAATGCGTTCAGAATCTTTATTGTCACATGACCAAGGCCAGTGGAGGTTTTTGTTGCCACAGCTTGTTACTATTGGAGACGCCACGATAAGCATAACGATGTACGATGCAGTGCAATGCAGTGAGGAGTATATGGTGTGTGATAAACAGTAGTTTCCTCAGAGTGACCAATCAGAAATGATGCAAATCCTGTGTCCTGTAGGCACAAAAGGAGGTGAATTTCAACAGTACAAGGTTAAATTGCAACAGATTTACACAGAACCAAGCACAAACGCAACCTTTCCCCATGACTGACGTACAGCTAATTCTAATTAAATTAGACTGGGTACAACCAGGACCAGCTGGGGTGTGGTAGTGAGGAAGAGGAGGAGACACAAGAGAGAAAGAAAGCCTCTTGACATTTTTTAGTTTTCTGTTTCGATGACTTTCAATCAGTTTTCTGCTCATTTTTAATGTTTATTTCTTAGGTATATTGGGCACAGAGAATTACACACTTCAAAGAACAGTGACGCGCAGGGAGGAAGAGGTAATGACTGCCTGTAATTTTTAAAGGCACCTGGTGTGGCTCACATGGGCCCTTCAGAGTAAATTGCAGTCTGAAGCTGGTACTGTGGGCAACTAAAAACAGAGCCAGATGATAGGGCCAATCAGTTCCAAGAGCTACTAGAGCGGGGTGGGCATCGTATCTGCAAAGGGGCGGGGTGTGTGCAGGTTTTTGGGGTAACCTTTAGGTCAGCTGTTCAAACCCAGGTGTGAGGACTCTTCAGCCAATCAGTCCTCTAATTAGCGATCTAATTAAGGAGTTACAATGAAGACCCTTTTACACAACACCCATTTCTGGACAGGATTGTCACCATGTACTAGAGCATTCTGAAGGATAAGGCTGCAGTTCCTTCAGGTTCCTGGTCAGGCATCCACAGATGACCGTCAGTCTTCTGCCATCTAAGAAGTCGGAGATTCACAGATATTTCCCAAAAAGTGCAGATTATAAAGATCTTTGGCAGCTTTTCTGAATAAAAACCAGAAGTCGACACACAACCTCTAGTTTTTGTTGCCGAGCTGGATGTTGATGACGCTCATAGCAAACCACTTACCCAAGGTTTCACAGAAAGGAATGATATAATTAGGGCTGTCAAAATTAACGGGTTAACGCGGATTAATCCATCATCATGATTAATCTGATTAAAATTTTTAAAGCAATTAACCCATCTGCAGCGCAGAATGACTCGAAATCCCTGAAATGTCTTTGTCAACCCATTTCGGGCAGTTTTGGTGTGTTCCATTTGCCCTGGGAACTTGTATTCCGAGTCGGATTCCGAGTTTTAAAGCCGGAAGTGACGACATGCACGCTCCTGTTTCTCGGAGATCCGAGAAATGTCTCGGAGCAGCACAGAGGATCCCGAGTTCAGAATCCAAGATGGCTGCGCCTTTTATCAACAGAAGGGAAAGTTGTAGTCTTATACTGTTTAAGCACTACTTCTCATTTGTGGCTCATTAAATCGGTCGCACACACTATGCCGTCCAACTTATTTGTGGACGTGTTGCTACGGAGTTTTATACGTAAAGCACCACGCGTAATGTGTTATCAACTGATATTGCTAACAATGGCAATTAACTGGGCTAGAATCAGATTTCATGATTAGTCGGATTATTTGTCGGATTTACGGTAGTTCGGGCTAACTGTAATTGAACGAAGATGAAGACCATTTAAACTGAGGTACCTTAAATCCGACAAGTTGTCCAGCTAACCAGAAAATCTTGCTTTTTGATATGGGCCCATGGTATAATGCACTTCTGTGGCAGATGGATTGCATCCGTATTCAAGATGTTCAATAAACATGTTAAGTGCATATATATTCCCTTTTTTCTTGAGTCTGTTTGCTCATGCAAAATGAAATTAATATAAATTAAAAATGAATTATATTTAATCGTGATTAATCTAAATTAATCCACAGCAACCCTGTGATTAATCTGATTAAAAATGTTAATCGTTTGACAGCACTAGATATAATATATCTTTATCTCTCCCAGACAGAATTGCCAGCTCAGACCTAGGGACTAACCACAGGAAACTGCACTTTGCAAAAGCTGGTTAGCTTTATAAAGCAAGGGCGGGGCTTCCTGTTGTAATCCATGAGCGAGATATGTTTCGTGTACAAAGATTTAATTGCTCAGGCAGTGTTTGCATCTGAAGAACAGAAACGTATTTAAAAAGCCTTCACATTGGGGTATCATATTGCTTATTAACAACAGTGACTATATGAGCCATACATTAAAATCAGAATCAACATGTAAAACTTGGACAAAAGGAGCAATAGCAATAACCAAAAAAAAATGCCCCAACTTTTAGCATTTCTTTTTAGGTGTGAAATGTTTAAAAAGATGATGTTAAATTTAAAAGCAACAAACAGAAAAGGTTACCAGTCATCATCAAGTGGACATTTGGTTAAATTAAAATATATTACAATAGGGTGATTTTTGTTAAAATGGGACAGATTTGCTTTCTGGAAAAATTTGTAAATTCATCCCTATGTCTTGTATCCCAATCTGATATCATTCTAAATACACTAATGCCCGTTGAACACTCCAAAGAAGAGAAAATAAAGTATTGCTAAACACATATATTAACCACAAAGTTTAACTGTCCAATTTTGCCAGATGTGCCATTGTGACAATACTCACCCTACTATACCAGTGGGGTTACAATGTTTCCATAACTGCTTCAGCCTAATGCTGATATAAAACATTTTATAGGATTAACATTAATATTTTACAGAAACTAAATGGTTTTCACTAAACTACTGTGAAGTAGTATCAAAATACTACAATACCAGTGTTAGATAACTGGCTGATAATTCTTTAAAAGAATTATAAAAAAAAAACAAAAAATAAGAATATAAAAAAGTAATAAGTCTTAAAAAGAGGTTGCATTTAAAATGATAAGATCGACGGTCCACCGTACACAACACACTAAATCGTGTTGCATATAAATGGCGACAAGATGCCGTCAAAATATATCCATTGTTGTCACTACAGTAGTTTAGCGTTACACAACACTAATGTGAAACTAAATGTTTTGTTTCTATGACACATTTTTGACACGTTCCTTATGAGCCATCCGTCTTGTGTTCTCAAGAAGAATGAATCAGGTCAATTTGCACATTAAGGACATTGCTTACAAAAACCTATCTATACGAAGGTGTTCATTTCTATACAAGTGTTTGACATAACGGTTGTTACAGTTTTTTTAGTTTAATACATTCCACTTTGAAGACTGCAGATAAAATCTCTTGTTTTCCAAAAATATCTCATCCTCACAGACTCAGTACAGGTAAGGTATACCTCTATTGGAAATGCCACTCCATCAAAGGAAAGTCTAATTAACCACCAGCTATCTGACTAAAAATCAATGAAACAAACACAATAAAACAAAAATAATGTCAGCCAATTGTTTCTCAGTGTCATGTAGGTGTATCTAGAAAATGTTCAAAGTGCAAGTGGCATAGACATGAAATTCCAAAACCGTTGCGTGAATGTTACCTCCGCACACCCTGTAATTGCCCACAGGTGAGCGATAGCCAGTCTTACGGTGTTTTCGGCTGGCCGGGGGCTGCGGGGCTGCTTAGGCTCAAACCTAGGAGCTGTTGGACAGGATGTAAGAGCAGCCTCTGCTGTGAGCAACACTGTGATGGTGGCAGCACAAGCCGGCTGGGCGCCTCAGCGCTCAAGAGGATGAGCAATGACCTCAAAGGCTGACAGAACCAGCCTCATGGTCACCTCTGCCTTGTCTGACCCCTTGTCTCCGCTGGTCCATTCCCTGTGTGCTGAGTGTCAGGTGAACTGAGAGAATACAAGGGAGCCCATGAGATGCTATGAATGCAAAGAGCAGCAAGGACGTCCTAAGCGGCTCTCAGCCTACTGCCCCCTTACCATGTCCATCAGCACACAGCCTTCCCGCTCTCCTGTACTGCCACCGGCACCTCCATGCCCTCATCCTTCTGAAATGTGTCAAGCATCTCTTCTTGGGACAAGGACAAGTTGGAGTCAGTCTTAATGAGTTTTCCAGGTGACACTGCTGCTGCCGAGAGTGGGGGGATGAGGTGGGCCTGGGTGGAAGCTCCCTGATGCAGGTTGATGGTGGTCGTGAAGCTGACGTTAAGTTTGTTTTTTTCCTTGGATACTGGCCCCACCCATACACCATGACTGGACTCTGATTGGCTGGAGCTGGAGGAGAAAGAAGGGTGCCGGGTCTTCTCCTTCGTTGGAAGGAATTTCTGGTGATGGAATTTTGTTGATGGGTCAGTGATGCAAGAACAGGAGAGAGGGAGAAGAGGAACATGAGGATAGGTGTATACTGTACATAGTTCTGACAAATGATTAATATTTCAGTCGCAATTAATAGCACATTTGGATGTAATTAATTATGATGAATCACACATTTAAAGTATATTAAAATGTATTGATGTATAGATTAACTATCCATCCATCCATATTCTATAACCTCTTGTCCTATGCAGGGTTACAGGGGGGTCTGGAGCCTATCCAGGAGCCTAAGGGCACAAGGCAATGTAAATTAACTAGATTTACCTAAATTATTTAACTATTTATATCAGGATTGGTTCCTGTCATGTCCTGTTGTGGCTCTCATTTCCTTAAGTTCCCTGTTTGGCCAGCAGGTGTCGCTGACCATCCCATTCTGCTCCCTGTGGTCTCCATGGTTTACCCTTACTCTTAGTCCCATTTGCCCATTTTAGCTATTTGCTGCCCCATGCTGTTCCATGTGTTTATGTACTCCACTATTGGTCCTTGCCTTTTGTGTCTTTGTTCTTGCCTGTGCACAGTCTTGTAAAATTGTAGCAATGTTCCTGGTACCTCTGGGTGTTTGAGCCCCGGTGTTTGGTTAATTGTTAAGAACCCACACCTGCACCTCTGTCTGTCCTGTACCCCTGTCAGATGTTGCATGTACTTGCTGTTAGTTGATCCCTGCTATGAATCTGCTTCAAATTCTGTGTGATTACTCTGTTTCCTTGTGTTTAATTTTAGTCTTCATTAGTTCTTGTGTTGCCTTCCTGTCTTTATTTAGAGCCATTTCATTTCTCCCAATTCATTTCTTGTTCCTTATAGTTCCCTTTTTCAATAAAGTTCTCTGTGTTGGAAGCCACCTAATGGATTGTCATCCATCCATCCATTTTCCAAACCACTTATCCCTCTGGGTCGCGGGGGGTCTGGAGCCTATCCCGGAAGCTACGGGCACAAGGTGGGGAACAACCCAGGATGGGGGGCCAACCCATCACAGGGCACACACACACACACACACACACACAACATACACATACACACCATACACACACCCACCTACAGGCAATTTCATATCTCCAAATAACCTTAGTATGTTTTTGGACTGTGGGGGGAAACCGGAGTACCTGGAGGAAACCCCACAACGATACAGGGAGAACATGCAAACTCCACATTTGCAGTACTGTATTTGAAATGTCCAAATTTATATGGCTCCTTCATTCTACAACAATCATTTTACTGATAGCATTTAAATTAGCTGAAGGAATGTTCTTTCATGTCTTTGCATTTCCTTGTTTAAGGTTGCGTTATCACGCCCTGATATATAAATACTTGAATAGGTAGTTGATTTTGTTTTGAATTTTGCACATATATAGAAGTGTATAGCTCATGACGGTTATGGGGCTGTGCTGTTTATGTCTCAAAACGGTGTTTTCATCTGTTAAAGAAATGGTTAACCTACCTTACTGACTTCCTGGTCAGTGTTTCTTCCATCTGCAGGGAGGATAAAAGGTTAGTTGGTATAGAGTATTGTAAACAGCGGTTGCTTTGTGGAATTTCCACTGCCGTGTGAGAGTTTTCTGGGGCAAGAGACATGGCCTGTGTGTGACATATTTGCACTTAAAATAGATTTACATTTTGAAGGCTGACAGAGCGATTGCTGCAGGGCGTGTGGGGGCTTGCGGTGAGGCCGGGCGGAAACTCCCTTCATGAGCAGGTTATCGGTGGTTATTTGACATGTGAGCAGAAGTGTGGGGGCCAGGTGGGCTGTGCATATCTACCTTTTATCCTGCAGGCCAAGGTGATGGCTATGATGATCACCGTTAGCACAAGCATGGTTCCAATTATCCCGCAGATAACAACTGGGAGAGACACAAGAGGGCCAAAGGACTTAAACATGACAAACAGAAGCCCATACTTTCACTGTATTTGTGAAATACCAAAAAAACTTCCAATCCTTCTTGGAGCGTGAGGCACTTCCTGCTGGGTACTATTTTGTGTCTGATGTTAAACTGTTTAATGTGGTACGTGCAACTTTGCAATGCCAAGTTTTGATTTATATACTTATGAAACAGAAGCAGGAAGGGGATGCAGGATTGGTCTCTGTCACCTCGACGGGAAACATTAACACCCACACCCAAAACAAACATCTTCTTAAACTGTGCTGAGCAGCAGAAACGGAGGCTGAGTCAAACACGGAGCACAATATCTCCTATGCTCTTTCCGGGAGTCTATAGTCCTTGCGTAAGAAATTCCCATGTGTTTTTCTCGTATGTCAGGTGAGAGCTGTAATTCCGACACAGGCTTACATATGGAGCCCTTGAATCCATCAGGTTTCTGAGAGGGTTCAGCGGGTCTTGCGGGCGTTGAGTAGGAATTGACAGGTCGGGTGGCACCTTCACACACTGTGTCTGCTGTGCTGTTGCCATGGTGAAGAACAGCCTTCCCTTGGGATGTACAGCTGAGGAAAGAGACAGATACACATTAAATGGTGTGTTTTGTTAACTCCTACACTGTCAGAAAAAAGAATACCAATTTGTACCTTTGCTTGTCACTGGGGCTGTACCCTATAGGGTCTGCTAATTGTACCCTTAGCTGTAAATCAATGTACCTTTTAGTCTAATTTAAGGTACAGACATGGAATCTGAGGAACATGTCCAAGGTACAAACTACATTAATGTACCATCAATGGTACAAAAATGTTTCTCAGAATTCTGTATCTTAAAAGGTACAATTACCTAAAGCTATTGGGTACAATTGGCAGACCCGTGAGGGTACAACTCCGTTGACAAGCAAAGGAACAAATTGGTACTCAAAGAAATTTGTACTCTTTTTTTCTGACGGTGTAGTCACACATATACAAAGGAAATCGTATGACATGCACTGAAACACATGACTGCTTCTGGTGGTGACATGCTCTGACACCAGCTAGTCACTCATGCACAGGTGACATTTCTGACAGCTTATGCCAAACGGATGTGGTGACTTCAGACCGCGTCATCTCTCGCATGTACTTTGTTCAACCCCTTTGTTAATTTTTCAACTTATAAAAACAACATTCTCATAATTTTTCATTTACAACACGGGTGGGGTTCCTGTTCCATGGAGGGCCAGTGTGGGTGCAGGTTTTCGGGATGACCTCTCAATCAGCCAATAACAATAACAAAACAGTGGTTCTCAGCTCCAGTCCTCACTGTTATTGGCTGATTGCGAGGTAATCCCAAAAACCCGCACCCACACCGGCCCTCCATGGAACAGGTTCCCCACTGCTGATTTACAACGTGGTCATCTACTTTAGATTGTGGTACAAAATGCAGAGTAGGGAATTTACATACCTAGTAGGTGGTGTTAACACGTCCGAGGTAGAAAGTGATTGGGAAAATGCAAATTATATTACTTACGAAATTAAAAAAAAAAACGTTTTGTGCGAACTCCCACTACAGGACGACTCTGCATGATCGACAAGATAGGAGATAGCTGGGGGGGGGGGGGGGGCGAGGGGCAAGCCGCCTGCATTTATGGAAGCACATCCTCCTGTGTGTGTTAGCCCTGAAATTTACTTACTCAGTGTGTCTCTGGCACTGCTTGGTGTAGGAGTGTTTGTCAGAGTAGGTCCCAGGGTCACACGCCTTACATTTCACATTGGAGGTTGGTGCTCCTGTCAAACACACACACACACACACACACACACAGTAACTTCAGCACCGATGCAACACAGAGCCTGCTAATTTGCAACCCATGGGTCTTAGAAGGACTAGAGATGTTAAGGCAAGAGGAGCTCCTTCTGCTGTGTAGCTTGTCTGGATTTGAAGCACGTTTCAGTTAGGTTACTTATTCTGCCCAGAAGTGTTCTTCTCTAATCTGAGATACTGTCCCCAAATTCCCTGTTGTAACCTTTGTTCTCTGTTCCTGGCCCTCAGCTTCTTCAGCCTCAATGTTCTGCACATCTGGACTTCTGCCCCCCCCCCCAGCTGCCCTCAGCAGCAATTAAGGTGATTCACGTGCCTTCAGTTTCCAACAGCAAATACCCCAGAGTTTCCCCTCTGCCATTACCTTTCACGGAAACTCCCTGTCCAGGTGGGCAACTGGTGTAGCGACTGCACGCCTTACATTCCGTGGATATCACACTGCGGCAGTACCATCCTTCTTGGCAGCCACATATTGCAGCTGTTGTGCTTGTGCAGTTCTGAATATAAACTAAGTTGTCGTCTAAAAAAGAAAAAAAAAAAGTTCCCATCTCAGTTCCACACACACTCAGGTCTGGGCAACAGGGCCTCTTAGTCATCCCAAATACCCGGCTAAAGACATGCCGGGATTGTGCTTTTCAGTCTTTTGCACCAAGGCTTTGGAACAGTCTCCTGCTGTGTTCCATTCAACTGAGTCAGTTGACTCTTTTAAAAAGCAACTAAAGATTTTTTTTATTTAAGAAAGCGCTTGAATAGAGTTGACTAGTCCTCTGTTTGTATTCTGTTGTTTTTATTATTACTATAACAAGTAGTGTTCTTGTTAATACATATATTTTCCTTCTTGTGTTTTATTCCGATGGTATTTCTAAGTGTTTTAGTGCTGTACAGCATTTTCATAAATAAAGGCGATTCATAAATAACTTACTTACTTACACTTGAATTTTTGTATCTGTGGCTTGACATTGAGTATCATTTTGTGTGGTTAATTGTACTTAGCTTCTTTGAAGCAAAACTGTACACAGTACAAAAAACTGTATACAGATGAGTTTCGCATGGATACCATCACAGTATCTGATATGTTTTATTATTACTATTACTTTGGAGCAGAGGTGGGGAATCTGATTCATGGAGGGCCGTTGTGGGTGCGGGTTTTCGGGATGGCCTCTCAATCAGCCAATAACAGTGGATCCCCGGGAATGCAGTTGAGAACCACTGTTTTATTATTGGCTGATTGAGAGGCCATCTCAAAAACCCGCACGGGCCTCCGTGGAACAGGCCCCCACCCCTGCTTTGGAGACTTTTTTCTCTTTGTCCCCACAAATCTGAATGAAATCTGCAGATGCACACACCCTCTTCCAGCACCTGGCATCTAGAAGTCTGGGGCTATGATGAGGTAAAACCACGAACCTCATCCATTCCTTCTCGCTAGACACTCACCTGTCCGGCACGACTGGCATTTGTGACAATTTGCATAGTTCATCTTGTTGCTGAAGGTCCCCGGTTGACAAGGCTGACAGTCGGAGTCTCTGCCTTGGGTGCACATGACTTTCAGGCGCTTCCCTGGAATGAAGCAGGAGTTCAACATAAACAGTGTGGGACCATGGGACGCTATGAATGGCAGAGAACGAACATACACACTGTTTCTCAAGAAAATATAGAATTTCTACACAATTAAATAACTGTTTGCAGACTTTGCATGGTGTAGCAGCTCTCTAATATTAATATTTCTGCACTGAAGAGAACAGGAGTGGTTATATCCACTGCAAGTTCACCCTCATTTGCATTTTGGCAAAACAAAACTAAGCCACAGGAACAGGAAATAATTTAGCTTTTTGTTTGAGAAGAATAGTAAGTGCATAGAAGAGTGATAGGAAACGCATGTATTTTAACACGGGTGGATTTCAGGCGGTCTTGTTTATCCTGACGTTCAAGGAAAAATGTCAAGTTACTTCCTCTGTGAAGTTCCCTCGAAAATGTCATTCGTGACATGGCCTTTGCTCTCGCTCTCTCAGTGTTACATCTGCACACACTCATGAAGCAAGTGGGTTTTGTGAACCGCACGCACTCTCCTGGACTCCTGTGTTGCTGGGGGCCAAATGTGGACAGGTTTTGGAGCGGGTACCGGAAGACCAACTACAGGGCCAGCAGTGCAGTGGTGGCTTGATGGTTAGGGTAGCGCACTTGTAATTGAAAGATTGCAGGCTCGAATCCCCCACCAGCAAGTCACCACTGAGGTACCCTGAGCAAGATACCCTCCCCAAGCACTGCTCCCCGGGCACTGAATTAGCTGCCCCCTGCTATGTCACGAAAGTCACATATGGGTCAAATGCAGAGGTCACATTTCGTTGTTGCACACTGTGTGCTGTGGTGTGTTGACAATGATCACTGATCACTAAATTCTAAATTCATAGTCAACAAGGACTTTAGACATTACAGTGTCCAGCAACATGCTAAAAATTGATTCATTTAGTAACTAAAAGGGTAATTCCCAGTTTGCAGCACATTAGGTCCACTGTGAAAACAAAAGAAAAATAACTGAGACACCAGAAACTCAGGTTACTTAAAAAATTCCATTGTCTGTTTGGGATTTCCATGGGCTGTTGGTGAGTATTCTGGGTAACATGATTGGCATGACTCTGCATTGTGATAATGACTTGTGCCACCACAGTTTATGAAGTCTCGGGGTTGAAATAAACGCATCACCACAAATTCAGTTAGTGGAAAGCTGCAGACACGTAGATTGGCTGGCGTATTTGCTGTGGGGGGTGCAGTCAGCCAATCACACAAGAGGTCAGGAGCCTGCATGATTTACCTGGAGGACACTTGCTACAACACAGGTTTAATTCTTCATTCAAATATTCGTTGTCATTTTTGCATGAGGTACCTTCTGCTTGGTATGGTAGAGCACAGACCTGCAGAAGGGAGAGAGCACAGCACTTTTAAACAAGGGCACACAAGTGGAAGGAAAACAAAACCAGGATGGACTTCCTGAGTCCAAAGGTCAAAACTAGTGAGGAGGGAAAATCATCAAAATAAATGGATAAGATGTTCAAAAACCCATTGTTGTAACAATCTCTGTCAGGGTCTCCAACTGGTGTTGAGGAATTCAGACCCTCTCATTTGTGTGATGATCCAAGGGCTGGGTGTTATGGCCAGAAATGTCATCACAATAAAAATTGTCAAGTCAATTTTGATAATTTCATGATAAATGTCAAATCACTTTTTTCTTTCAGTTTAAAGGCTGATTTTTGCTCCTGAGTGACAGTTGAAGAAACCAGATGGTTCACTGCGGTTTTACACTATTCCTTATCGTCAGAACATGACAAACACCTGCCAAACAGCATTTCATATGTCACAAATTGGAGGTAGAAGTTGAAGATAATTTCAGTCAGGGCTGACAAAACACCGCCGCTCCCACATTTCCCTTTTGCCTTTATGAATTCTCTGTCGATTATTATTATGCTGATTTCCTGTGGACAGATTTTTATTGTGGACTTCCGTCTTGGATTTTGCTGGATTACACTTATTGGACGGATTACTCTGGATTTACCTGCTGTCCTGTTGAGTTGCTCTGTTGTTTTGATTGTGTTTGTTGCAGTCTCGTATTTGTTCAAGAAATCCCAGATTTGTGTTTTTACAGTTGTATGTGCTTGTGCATCCATCGAGTCACAGAGAAAGTGATGTCATTTCATTGTGATGAAAAACGATGTTGCAAACGGCATATTGGGTCTTATATCATGTCAAACGTTTATTGAGTATTTGTCATATTGATATCGAGGGAAATTATATTGGGATAATTCTCACTATTGTTTTATCGCCCGGCCCTAGATGGTCCCCAGAAACAGCTTTTCGCAGAGCTTGTTAAGCTGGTGAAATGCAGAGACCCCACTTTCTGGCACTTTTGAAGACACAATTTCCCTAAACACATATGAAACCTTGAGGAACCAACCCGCACAGTTTCCTATCATAAGGCTACAGTTACAATCTCCAGTCAACTTGAGCTTGATTTTATGCACCCTCTCTTGTAAGTGGAGAGGCCAACTGCATTTATGCCAGGAGAAATACGTTTCCTTCCTCCATTGATGGGTCCGGAAGTGGTGAAATGAAACAATACGTACTGAAGCGTCAAGACACACCTCAAACACGCATGTCACTGTTGGCCAATACAAAATGCCGAGCAAGTTCTTCAAGAAGGTCTCAACAGAAAAAGCTCTGTACTTACAGTTGTGGGTGACATCTGTTATAGACGTCATGCAGGGTTCAGAGCCTAGTGAGGTCGGCATGGCGGGGAGTGTTTGGTTTTTCTGACTTCCCAGGCGCCCTGATACCAAGACTCTTCTGAGAAACAAATCTGGCTTGTCAGGAAATTGGTTTAACTTTTTTCATCCCTACATCCTGTGATGCACAATGTTCTTGCAAAAGTTTGTAAGTGATCCGTCAGCTGAATACTGAAATGAGACAGCTGCATGTAATATGAAAAGTCGCTTGAGAACAGAAGAGCCAAATTTTGGAACAGCTTCAGGCTTAAGTGAAACAAGTCCGAAATACTCTCGCACACGAAGTGTGAAGTGGTAAGACACCACAAATACTTGGAGTATTTTACATGCATGTGTCCCCTCATCCAGTTTGGTATTTGTGTCAGAGAATCCAGCCCAGTGATCCACAGACCAGGGGAAGCACGTCAGCATCCAGAGTTTTCCTAAAAGGACACAGCGAAAGCCCTGCTGAAAGAATCACTTGAGGGTCCTTGGCATGATGAAATCAACAGCGAAAAGGACAGCCTTGCCTGTTTAACCTTTGCACCCTTGGAGTGGTTGGTTTGGTGTGGTGTGGACAGAGAAATAAAAAAGCCAGACCTTCAAAATTAGGTTGGAGTCCCCACTTGCTACCTAAACTTTCTGTCCGGTCTGGCCTACCTCTACAGCACTGATCTACTTTAAAACCTTGCTCAGCTGTCCTGAAAATGCCCCATCAAATTAGGGTGTAAAAGTCAAGCCTGAAGTACATGGCAACACAACAAATGACTTTCACAGATGACACTTTCACAGTCAGAGGCCATGAAACACAAAGGAAAATCATTTCCTCCGAGCGACGTTTGAAGTGGTCAAGATGAGTTAGAATGCGTTCGCTTTTAAAAATATAGTACATATGTATCTCTGCTGAAATTTTAATTTTATTTAACCTTTGATGAGTGGATTATGAGCAACAGGAACAGTGATTGAAAATGTCTGAGGCTAGGCCTGTTGGTTTTTTTTTTTCGTTTTTACTGAGCAATGGGGTCATGGACTGTGCAGGTGAGGTAGACGTATTGCTCACATTGTTAGGCTGTAGGAATTATTAAAAATTATCTGTAATTTAAAAAAATAAATAGTAGGTGGGGTCAGCATCTATTTTTCATACCATCATACCAACGATTACAGCAGGATGTTGATGGCATTTTCAATGCTAGCCTGGGGGGTACATGGGCAGCAATCCATATTGCAGTTATATTACAATCAATTATTATATACAGCTACAGACATTTAACAAAACAATTTAACTGAATTCAAACAGAAGGTAAATGAACATCTATGGTTACGATAAACAGTTAACCAACAAAACTCTTAGATCAATTTGAGCAGAATTAGAACAATGGGTTACAATGAACATGCGACTTTGGATTTGCACATTTACAACACTGCACTGTGTGGTAACCACATTCCCTGCTGTGCTGAATACTCACTGGGATTCTGTATGTGGTGGACAGACACAGAAGTAATTGCGGGCTACAGGTGACAGCAACGTAAGGTGGGTTCCGTTAGATTTCCACCCGAGAAGATGGCTAGCAGACGGCATTTTCTTCTTCACTAATTCTGTGTGAAGAGCCAATCGCACTGATCACTGGCTACTGTTCCATGCCATCTCGCCTCCAGTGGCATGAGACGTAAACTACAATCACCTGATTAATTTTCTGGTTTAAAAAAAAAAAAAATGACACTACTTGTGGTTTTCCATACTTGATAGTGTGGTACTGGAAAACCACACCACCAAAATTTCTAAATGGGGCAGTATATTGCCCTAGTTTATTACAAAGTAAATTTCACTTGTGATGATCCAACAACCATCTGCCACAAATAAAAAAAAAACCACTAGTCAAAACCACTCAGTCAGACATCACTCCCTGTCCTTTAGAATAAGATGAAATGCATTTTGGGAGTTTTTTACCCATCTTTTTTTATAGAGAGGTGTGTGACTCAGCATGTTAAGACTGCACCCATACTTGGAAGGTTTAAATCATGTGGCTGGCAAAGTGGCCTCACCACTGGGACCTTGAGCAAGGCCCTTAACTGTCATTTCTTCAGGGACAAGCTTACCCTGCATTGTCAACTGCATATTGCGTTGGATAAAAGCACCTGTAAAATCAATTTAATATAATTACAGTGGTTTCCTAGCACTCAGCCCCAGAGAGTGCTAACAGGAGGGGCTGGCAGCTAATTTCCTCACAGAGATCTGCTCTGGGGAGACAGGGAATAAACCCCACCCCACACAGGGGTAATCACCTGCACCCTCCTTTCCTGTGCCTCCTTGCCCACCACAATTCAAGAGTGAAAGTAATCGGGGGGTGGGGGTTGGTGAAGATAACATTAACCACAGGTTATCATTTCTGGCTTTGGATCACACAAACGTTCTGAGATTACAGTGAGATAAAGAGGCATTGAATACATTAGCATATAGTGCTCTTCAATCTAAGGGTTGCATTTAACAGTACTCTGATCATTCAGCCATTAGCTCTAAAAGCCTGATCACAAGGCTCTGCTGTCAAATGGTATTTATAAAGTTAATTATTTATTGCAGTTTGTTTTCACAAATGAAATGTTTAAGGCCTTTTCAAGGTCGCACTGGTATTTGCTGTTTTGTTTCACAGATTGCCACACACTGCAATGTTCTTCCTTCTTGTTAGCAGAATTTGTAAATAGCTTCAGTTTAAGGGCCCAGTGCTTCCACATTTTATATTTCCTGACTATTCTGGCTTCCTGCCACGACAGTTGCAATGGATGCTCCCTCTAAGTTGTCCATCGCATATGTGCATGTATGTGTGTGCACACGAAAGGACATCTCCTGTCTCGTACCCTATTCCTTCTGGGATAGGCTCCAGGCTCACTGGGATCCAGCACTAGATAAGAGGATGTGGACAGCAGTTACGGGGTGATTTAGAGTACAAATGCACATGTGGTACTCAGATGGAATGGATTCCAGAGGAGATTCTTTGAAGGAGCTAACAGTGCTTTAGCTCCTGTAAGAAGGTATAATACTTATGTATATGAAGGAGACCAGGCAAATCCATGAATACAATCAATGGCCTATTTCTACTGTAAGTCTGTATCTCATAATGGCTGCTCCTCTATGCATTGCACTGTGGCCTGTAAAATGGCCCCTGGTCCAGACATCTACGGATGAAACTTTTTTTTACATATTAAGATATCACATAAAAGAGTGATGCCTTCAGATATACCAGGGTGATTACACCTTCAAAGGCTTCACAGAAAAACTGAAAACCTGCCCGTTTCTCTCTGTTCCTTTGAGGTGACCCAATTGCCATCTTCAGATGAAGGTCAAAATCCACCTGAAGCAACTGGCTCAGCTAGGGCGGACGCCACACGAATGGAGTCGTGAAACGGAGAGATAAGAGAGGCATGGCAATTTCTCATAAGCGTAGCCGCTCCCTACGCAGAAACTTGCCAGCGTGCCGGAGGTGTTACAGGAAATCGTCGCTGAGAGGAAACCAGGCTGAGACGGGGAGGGCTGAAAAGAGACCTTATCATGCTCTTCACTCAGTGCTGTGTTTCTATAATACAATAATTCTTTTATGTTTGTTAGAAATTTTTTAAATAACTGCCCTGATGTGATTTCCCCCATCAACCTGAAAAAACTAAACACAGAAAATGAAAGACAAAGCTTTGGCTCTTGATCTGTTCCTACCGGAATCTTGATAAGACAAAGCAGTTTGCCTGTTCTACCACTGAAACCGGTATTGTTTTCGGTTCCTGTACTTGCGTGCCTTTTCACTTGAACTCACCGCCCGAGCCTTTCTCAGGCAGTCTGACTGTAAGATGACTGCTAGCCCTGCTGACGTCCGCGTTTTTTTCCAAATGTGTGGGACGGCGCCTGTACTCAAAGGAAACGTGAAGGCTTTCAAATAAGGGTTATCTATCTATCTATCTATCTATCTATCTATCTATCTATCTATCTATCTATCTATCTATCTATCTATCTATCACCTACTTGCTGCCGCTGCTTATTATTATCCCCCCATACATACATACACACACACACACACACACACACACACATTCTCTTTGTATGTATGCATTCCAATATCGTGTGTGCAGGGGAACTATATATATTCAAGGGAATATCTCTGCTACGTTATTTAACCAGGATCTAACACTTTCGTTGCTACCGCTACGCTGCTGATTGACTGTAGTTTAAAGCAAATCGCACTCTCCTGGGACCATTTCAGGCGGCAGCCGCAGACCTCAGCGCGCTCGCCTCGCCCTCACTCCGTCACAGCACGGTGCCTAATCATCCCCAGCCCGAGGCTGCCATGCTGTCAACGTCTGCATCACTCACGAAGTACTATAGGACTCCTGCGGTACATTGCCCATTAGGCTATTGAAAATTTACGGTATACTTGAGCGGACTTGACTTTTACAGTTTTTTATCATATAGTCCCCCGTCAAAGTGCGGGATAGCTGCATGATCTCCGCTTATTTTCTTTTTTACCGACCAGGTAGTAAAAAAACTAGATTGAACTCCGCTCGAATTGTGCTTTATAGAAATCTACCAAGGGGGAAGGTTTCTCCTAAAAAAGCATTTCTCTCTACACTGGAAGCCAATAACAGTGACACCGGGAAATTCCGTAGCCCGAACTCTTAACTGGCAACGAGAGAGAAAACAAAAGGTGTGTTAATGTGTCTTTCCCCAGCGATACCCCCGCCATCCCAAGCTCTGTCCAGACGAAGCTCCACTGCCGTACTCTCCATGCAGTCACTTCCCTCTACCACGTCTCCTTACTGGAAATCACATGGTCACTCTAAAACTGGCTTCCAGCCACATAATACAAAGTTGAGTATACACGCTTTGGAGTCTCAGTGCCCTTGCTAGATTCCAGTGGATTTCTTAAGAAAACACACTGGTTTTCATTGCGGAAGACAGCTCTGCTTTTATCGGATAATACCTGTTCCTTTCAGACGCGCTTCCTGACTATATCTGGGTAATAAACGCGTTTTCCCTTTCCTGCTGAGTACAGGATTGATCAGGGGATAGATCTCAAACTTGCTGATTGGGTAAAAGTTATATTACCACACGTGGTCACATCTGACAGCGGTTACACGCCAAGATCGTGTCCGCGATCTTATAATCACCCCAAATACTGTATAACTCTTATATAATTCATTTTCTCCATCTGCCCTGCTTTCTCATGTGTATACCACCAACAGTAGCCTACCTGTTTATCCCGCCACAGCGCCCAGAGAAAGCTAGGGTAATCACCCAATTTTCCCAGTACCCTACCCAGTAATCTTTAACAAATTACCAGCCCCCAAATGTCCATTTTTATGGTTTGCCCACATATTTAGAATATAAATAAATAAAACATATTTCTTATTTTTGAAAGTTTTCAAATGCACGCAATAAATACTGGGTGACAGACTGTAATGAATCACAGGAGAATGCTCACAGGGTAAGTGTACAGGCAGAGCAAATCACTTTACCCCGTAAGAGAAATAATCAACGACAGCCTTTCAAACGCAAAGCGGTAAGTTATTTATCTGCAAGAAACACCCACCTTATTCAGCTGCGCGAAAGCCGCAAGCCAGAGGATCAGGATTTTCCTCAACATGTTTTTTCTTTTCTTTTGAAATGCGTTCGCATGAAAAAAGCGGGGTGTGCTAGGGATACCTCTAGTACGGTAACTGGAGCGCCGGTCCTTTGAAGTTCTCAGGGGAGTGAAGAACCTTTACATTTCCTCCCGTAACTAATAGACTCAATTTGTGGTTTTATTAAGGTTTGAAATAAAAAAAAAACACTTCGGTAGCAGATTCTGCGACAAGCCAAGTCGTAGTTCAGCTTCTTCCAGGACAAATAGCTAAGAAATCGACATCAGGAAGTAAGCCTTCTCTAAGTAGGCAGTAGATTGATTTTTACAGATGCCCCCCGCCCTCGTCCACCCCGCCCCCGAAATTTGTCAAAGTAAAACTTGGTGTTTGTAAACCTTATGAAAGACCTTGAGTCTTTATGTGATAAAAATGTCGACTTATGGTACTGCAGTATAAATTACACTCCACGGTCTTGACCTTGAGTTGATGATTTATCATACTTTGTCTTATCAAGCCATGTTTTAGTAAGATATATAGCAACAACTTTAATTCTACCAAAACAGAGAAATGAAGATTTGGATGATATTACCTGTATTTTGAGAAATCATAACGTTTTGCATAACCAAACGTCAAGTCTTTTAAACTGATGGATGTCATAATTAATGTCGGTCACATCACAGATGAGACTATCTGAACTAAACGAGGCTATTTCTTTACATTTTATTTTATTAAACAATATTTTTTAATGAAATCATACATATAAAACATAACTTCACGTGCAAATCAGTCAGAGATTATTTTATACTGCAGCGAGCACCAAGTTAAAGTGTGTGGCAGGTCTTTGTAGTCTCGTTAAAAATAAAACAACTGAGACAACAATAAAAATAGATTTCTATGACAACGGACACTGCGCCAGTCCGTAGATGAAAACTTCATAACTTGAGCACGTCCGCTCAGCGAATTTCATCTCAGTAGTTTCTGAGATATTCATTTGCAGTGAGTCACAGGGCTGTCCCGTAAAACAGTGGGTGGGGGAGAACTTTTACTTCAAGTTAAAACACTGCTTCAGTTTGACACGTTTAAATTGCTTAATACCCCCCTCCCCCACAATAATAATAAAAATAAAACAAGCTGAATCTCATACAGCGGTAATTAAAAAACCTAAAGACTACTGTTTGCTTTTAAATGACGGTGATTGTTTCAGTGGTCGTTTTGTGGTCGAAATGCATTTTGTAAATGATAGAAAGTAGTTTTGTGAACAAAATGCAATTTGTGAATAATACACGTTCATTTCGTCTTTTGCTGAGTCACGAAAGGCACCGCGAAATCCATTTAATCTTTTGCCGAGTCTTTGCCGAAAGGCACGTAGTAGGCCAGCGCCTGTGGAGGGAGTAGTGCTTTGAAATGACCATTAGGCAGAGCGCAGCTTTGATTTTGCAGACCCGTGCATCGGCATAAATTATGGGGGAGATGGGGGATTGTAGCCCCCCCCCCCCCAATAAATCAAAACCAGCTAATACAACCCCCCCAAAAATCATGTTTCCCCCATAATGGATGGAGACCTCAACCCCCCACAATGTTCCAGCCAAAGTTACGCCCTTGGACCCATGTACTTAAAGTCATGGCCAACTGTCTGCGGTAAGGAAGGTTCTGATAACACCCCATGGCCTGCTTTAAACATGAGAATGTGTACTTTAAGTCCGGTGGTAAGCGAGCAATGTGTCTGTAAATCCAGAAGTGATGGTGGAATATTGAGAAATTGCCCAGTTTGAATGGCTGGTTCTCAGAAGCCCCCCCCGCCCCCCGGCACAATGTGTAAGAGATGCTGTTTCTCAACTGGCTTCTGACTCTGAGAACTGCACTGTGACTTACTCAGACCTGGACAGAAACTAACCCCAGTGCAAACTGCAGAGGAGATGAGCCTGAGTAACAAGGAATAACGTACAAGATGTTCACTGAAACAATCACCATCATTTAAAAGCAAACAATAGTCTTTAGGTTTTTAAATTCCCGCTGCCAGGGATTCAGCTTGTCTTATTTTTATTATTATCGTGGGGGAGGGGGTTATTAAGCGATTCAAACGTGTTTTAACTTGAAGTAAAAGTTCTCCCCCACCCACTGTTTTGGTTGGCTTCAAAATATTAAAAGTACAATAAAAACAGTGAAATACAACAGTAAAAATTTGAGCCCTGGAGTTATTTGTATTTTTATTACATTTAAATTCAAGTTAAACATAATTATATGGGTCATCCACCATCTGCTCATTTGAAGGTATTACTCCCCCCACAGGCGCATGCCTACTACATGCCTTCTGTGACCCTGCAAAAGACAAAATGCATTTCGTGATTCCAAAAGATCACTTTTATCCACAAAATGACTGTGCATCATTAACAAAATGCTTTTGTCCACGGAATTACCCTCTTTAATTTACAAAATGCATTTCGTCCATGAAATGACTTTCTTTAATTCGCAAAATTCATTTCATGGTGCCTTTCCTGACTCAGCGAAATACGAAATGCATTTTTGTGATTCCGCAAATAAATGAATGTGTATGTGTGTGTGTGTGTGTGTGTGAGGGGGGGTGGTCAGGATGAGTGACAGGGGCCCTAAAAAATTTAGAAAATAATTGAATTGGTCTGGACTGGGGGGCCCAATATGATATGCTTTCATGGGGCCGAAAATCTCTAGCAATGCCCCTGCATACAAAATACAATTCTGTCCACAAAATGACTTTCTTTAATTCACAAAATGCATTTTGTCCACGAAATGACTGTGTATTATTCAAGAAATGTATTTCTGTCCACGAAATGCAAAGTGCTGATATCAATTCTGTGCATGAAAATAAGCCAAGTCTTTATGTTTTCGTGGATAAGATGTAACTGCAGTTTGTCTTTCTGTGGACAAAACGCAGCAAGGCATTACTTGATTTCGTCATGAAATAATGCTTTTTTGTGGCACAGAATGTATTTTGTGCATGGAAACGAGCACTTGACACTTGGTGCCCTGCATAGGGACAGGCAGTGAGATGTGGTGTGGCAGTCAGCGGCACGAGGCGGGGCTGGGTCCCACCTGGTCCATGTGACTGACACACAGCCTTCGTGGAAACAGGCAACCCGACAGCATCGTTCTCTGAACCTTAAAACAAAACTGATGACAATAGTGGACAATTCATCTTAAACCAAAATATGGAAAAGAAAAATACAGCAGTTAAAATATACAATAAAAGATGGAGGAAAGATAAATTAATATAAAAAGACATAACAGTACTAGGGGATGGGTGTAAAACTCTTTTTCAGTCCTTCACTCTGATAATCTCTCTTGCAGTCTTTCCTGGCTCCAGTTCTCACCCCCTTCTTAGATCCTACATCAAGATTAAGATTGAAATTAAGATGGACTTCATTAATCCCAGTGGGAAATTCTGTACTAAAACCCACCAAGCTATCACATGAGCTTCCCTCACCTTGTGGGTAAATAGTAGGAGTAAATATCCTCAAAAAGGACAGTACACCCTGATAAATAAAAAAGCACATGGACATTGCCATGAAGTGTCATCCATCCATCCATCCATCCATCCATCCATCCATCACCAATTGCCTATTGGTGGCAGCATTTGCCTTGATCTTGAAGTGATCCAGCTCAGTAAAAAAAATCAGTCAGAAAAAATTGGCACCAAAACAGCATTTTTGGCATTAGAGTTCATAGCATGACTTCCTCATACATACAGGAACATGCACGTAGGCGTGTGAAGTTGCGACCTTCAGATTGCACAGCATACCATCCTGCAATGAACGCAGAAAAACAGAGTGGATGGTCCACAGTCATGCAGAGGATTCTCCTTCAAATCCCAATTCTGTTGTGGTCAAACCACAAATTGTGTACCCACAAGAGTCTTTATGGTGATTAAACAAAGAATGGCATTTGTCCTGGGCATGACATTGTGTAAGAGAATATCTCTGCTGGATAAAAGCTGACCTTTCAGCTGCATTCAAAGCGGTGCCCATGTGTACTTGTGGGGATTTTTAACTGGGCCACAGAAACCCCCTTACACGTTGATTGATGGGTAGTTACCAGGGCGCTTGTGTCAGAAGGAATGGCATGGCAGGTCGGTGAGGACAGTGACTTATTAAAACAAAACTGACCAGAGTTGTGACCCCCCCCCCCCCGAAAAAATATGTCACAAAAAGAAATAGGACGACACTGGGTCATCAGGATGCCTTGCCTTTCCTACTAAGGTCGCTGTCATTTCCATTTCCTTTACACTGTATATTGCCTCACATGAGTAATTTCCCCTGAACACAGAGCAGACTCATACTTCTTTGGTACCGTTCCTGTGGATTTCATGCCCTCAGTGTGCAAAGCTTCTGTATCATTATTTACTAATGAAGCAGACAAACAATTGAATTGAAAAAAAAAAAGAAAAGAAAAAACAAACTTCCTAATATCCAGTGAGTCGTTCCTTAGGCACTTCTGCTGAGGAAGAATTTTAGCATGGTTTAAAGGTCATGGATCTCCATTTTGATCTTCTCTCATGCTCTCCATTCCAGTCCCAGCCTCTGGGTTTGGGACGCTCCCCCACTTCCATCCTTACCCCAGCTCCCAGTGTGCTTATCATTTGCCTGTGGCAGGAATGGGGTAGCTCAGCTCCTTTTGGAACTCATTCTCTGTACATTCCACCACGGGGGGCCTTGACGTGCCGCTCTCCTCAGACCCAATTTCAGTGCTGTCAGGCACCCGGGCCCCTGTCAGAGATTCCTGCTGTGGGGTGCCGACGAGAGGCTGCACCTCCTCGGCTGTTCCATTCTCCTCCCTCTGTACTGCTGAGTTGGACCCCAGGACCACCGTCCCCGGGTTATAGATGTGTATCGTTCCTGTGGGGTGAAACCTGTTAAAACGGGCGACCCGTAGTGAAAGAGGAAAGAGCAAAGAGGGTAGGGAGAGTGTAGATGGCGGCCAGCTTGCCCCTCGGTGGCTCAGATCCTCATAGCATCTCCACGGTTATTCTTCTTGTGAAGCTCCCCCATGATCTCTTCTCCCAGCCGGTCAGATTAAGCCAGTTCCCCTGGCTCACAACCTCTGCTATCCCTCTGAGATACCAATAGGGTCTGGCCATTTCAACCATGTCTAGCCCACAAAATGTGAAGGAGGGATTACTCCAAGCTCCAGACTTTAGGCATCTACAAGAGCCTTGACCGTGATCCCACAGTTTGGTGGGATGCCTACACCATTCGCCAGCGCTCAACAGCAACAGAAGAATGATTTTCTATTAGGCTCCCTAGCCTGTCTTGTTTTTCGCCCCTCGCCTTGCCGTCCTCCATGACCTATGGTCAGTCCCACCAGGCCTTCTGTCTGTCTCCCTTCGCTTCCCATCACTGCTGAACCTACGACCCTACATGATGTGCTTTGTTGGCAGGACGGCATAAAAAGATGGTTCTTGTTTCACAGCCTTAATAAAGCAACACTTAAAGCTTGCCAGAAAACACATTTCCGGAAGGCAGAGGAACACAGTGCTTTGGTACAGATAAGGCAAAATTATAATCATATCCTGTTTAAAAAGTCATATCCTGTTTTCAGACATATTTTATTTTTTCAGCAGATGCTTATAAACTACAAAAGAAAAGTGTATCATCTGTGGATACAGAAGGACTATTATACAGAATTTGTTTCCTGATGTGGGCCTGTTCCTAAGAGGACTGAAAGTCAAGATACCATAACTGGTTGCTAAGTCGTTTAGCTCCAGGCCAGAGGTATGCGATTTAAAACGCCACAATTTATATTTGCCCATTTTGTGAGGAGAATAACAGTGCAGAGGTAGGGTTCAAACGATTAACAGCTTTGACAGAATCTGATGATGTTCTGGAGATACAGAGGACCAGAGCCACAGATCAATTTGCAAGGAGCCACCAAAGAGCTGAAGCCTATCAAGAAGATGAGAAGCCCCAGTCAGCACAAATGAAAAGTTTGAGGAGCTGCCTATAGACGGGGAGAGGCAGTCTGCGCAAAGTGACCGGACAACCCTAACCCCAACCCTAACCCTATAGATGGGGAGAGGCAGTCTGCGCAAAGTGACCGGACAACCCTAACCCCAACCCTAACCCTATAGACGGGGAGAGGCAGTCTGCGCAAAATGACCGGACAACCCTAACCCCAACCCTAACCATAACCCTATAGATGGGGAGAGGCAGTCTGCGCAAAGTGACCGGACAACCCTAACCCCGACCCTAACCCTATAGATGGGGAGAGGCAGTCTGCGCAAAATGACCGGACAACCCTAATCCCAACCCTAACCCTAACCTTATAGACGGGGAGAGGCAGTCCACGCAAAGTGACCGGACAACCCTAAACCTAAACCTATAGATGGGGAGAGGCAGTCTGCGCAAAATGACCGGACAACCCTAACCCCGACCCTAACCCTAACCCTATAGACGGGGAGAGGCAGTACACGCAAAGTGACCGGACAACCCTAACCCTAACCCTATAGATGGGGAGAGGCAGTCTGCGCAAAGTGACCGGACAACCCTAACCCCGACCCTAACCCTAACCCTATAGATGGGGAGAGGCAGTCTACGCAAAGTGACCGGACAACCCTAACCCTAACCCTATAGACGGGGAGAGGCAGTCCACGCAAAGTGACCGGACAACCCTAACCCTATAGATGGGGAGAGGCAGTCTGCGCAAAGTGACCGGACAACCCTAACCCCGACCCTAACCCTAACCCTATAGACGGGGAGAGGCAGTCTACGCAAAGTGACCGGACAACCCTAACCCCGACCCTAACCCTAACCCTATAGACGGGGAGAGGCAGTCTACGCAAAGTGACCGGACAACCCTAACCCTATAGATGGGGAGAGGCAGTCTACGCAAAGTGACCGGACAACCCTAACCCTAACCCTATAGACGGGGAGAGGCAGTCTGCGCAAAGTGACCGGACAACCCGGCCCTCTCAGAGATTTTGTCATCTGCGAGGCTGTTGGGAAGCAGGTAGAAGTGAACCGCCAATAAGAGGGGGCACGCTGGACTCACCCACGGTATTATTGACGCCATCTCTGCCCCCACTGTGGCCCACGGTGACCTGCTGCGGGCCCCCACCAAGCTCCTCCTTTGGGCCCAGCTCATCCTTCACCTGCTGGGTGAACATACCAGTTTTCGTGCTGCTGCTTTGTAAATACGGAGACAAAGTCTGATGGGCAGAGTGGCCAGAAAGTGCTCAGTCCCTGGTGCTCAGTCTCTGAACAGAAGCACGTTAACATGGGGCGATCCGTAAAGCCCAAAAGTCAGGGGCAGACAAGCTCTGGATCATGCATCAAAAGTGTTACTTTTTAAAGAGAATGATACTCACATATTTTGAAAGTGAATGTCCTGAAAAAGACAAAAACAAGACACCTTAATAACTAATGTTGAGTCCCTGGGGTTACTAGAGTGTTATACCTCTGCACATATAAAGACATTATTCTCAGCGGTCTAGTCAGTGCTTTATTTACACTGCAGAACCCATCTGGCAAATCTATAGGCCTGGTGTGTCGGTGAGAGGATGCAAAGGTGCCCCTTGGGCGATATGCCTGTGCACCCCGTACTCACGCCAATACTGGTGCACCCGCTTGGCGCCTATCCGCTTGAAGAAAAGTAGCAGTAGTGCAGAAAACAGCAGCAAGAGTAGCAGCCAGAAGTAATGGGTATAGTTCGGATCCGTCAATCTGCCTGGAGAGGGTTGGGTGCCCTGTGTGTTTGTAAGGGTAGTGTCTACAAAACTGGAAGATCTCCATCTCATGGTATCAGGAGTGCTGTTTTCAGGGATGTCCTGTGGGACTGTCAATAAAAAAAAATACAGCAGGGCATTAATAAGTGAGGAAGTTGAGGACATTAAAAATAGATTTACATCATATAGAGCCACCTGGTGGACAACTCCGGTATTTCACTTCTCCCAAAATACAGTACGTGTATAGATCTGTATAGAGCTTATAAAGCACACATCAAAATAATTTTCTCACCCCTCCCCCCCTGCAATGCGCAAACAGTGATATGCACACAAATAACAGAGAAAGATACAGTCTTAACAGTCATAGGCTACGTTCACACTGCAGGGCAAATGTGGCCCAAATCCGATTTTTTGCTCATATGTGACTCAGATCACATTTTTTCATGACAATGTGAACAGCACAAGTCACATGGAATCCGATTTTTTCAATTCCGATTTGGGCCACTTCAGTATGTGGTCATAAATCGGATACAGGTCTGATTTTTTGCAATGCAACCTCAGTCTGAACAGTGAAATCAGAATCCATGTGACTTTTACGTCACTCTCGATCGACGTTCGTCAATTCTGCGCAGGCGGAAGTCACCATATGTCTCCGTCGGGTGCCAAACATGGAGGAGAGCACAGAAGCTGGCCAGTGGAGGGACAGTGAGCTGCTGGATTTAATAAGTATTTGGGGAGATAAATCTGTTGAGGCAAAACTGGAAGGTTCATATCGTAACCAGGCAGTTTTTGAATCAATAAAGTGACGTCTTTGTTTTTGCACATGCGCATCATGCGTCTTTGTTGTTTTGTGCGCATGCGGGCCAGTTCAGTATAGTGAACCATTCACATTGAAATCTGGTATTGCGCACATTAAAAAGAGTAATGTGAACAGACAAACAAAAAGTCCGATCTGAGCAGGAAATCAGAATTGAGCATTATACCCTGCAGTGTGAATGTAGACATAGACAGGGGACACTTTTTTTGTTTGTTTGTTTCCCGAATATCCAGCAGGGGGCATGAGGAAAAATCGGTGATGCCAGGAATCAAGTTTTTACAGATAAATTTACGGAGTCTGTGTCCCATTTCAGGGCCTGCGTCCTTCTAAGGCTGCATTCGAAGTCTGAATTATGTCACAGCAGAGCGACAAGCCTGTTCCATTGCGACGGCTCCTTTAAATGCGGCTTAGAAAGGCATCCTTCTTTTCCTGGGCCACAAAGGATCCACCCAATGGATCTTTCAGAGCCCAAGCTATCCCAAGATTCATTATACAGATTTGTATATAGACACGGCCTACAAAAACTACACTGCCTGCGTCTTTTGAAGGATACAGCCTCTGAATTGGGACACAGCTTGTGACATGAGTATAGCATTAGTTCTGGTCATTTAAATTGCTATTTCACACGGCCCAAATTGCCTTCTAATTAAGAATAATAGTCAAGGACATAGACTTACAATCTAGAGTTTGCAAGCTTAGTTCCCCATAGGGTGCTGTTGTTTGGATTTTAAATATTCGGGGGGGGGGGGGGGGGTATTGCACAGTGTGGTCAAAATATATTTATATTCAGTTTTTCTCCACTTTTTTTCCTGTAAATAGTTTATTGTCCTTGTCCCTGGGTCATCTGGGACACACTGTTCAAATGGGATGAGGCTCTTTGTCTCTGTTCCATGCATTTACACTGTCTCCCTCAACAACAATAATGATCATAATTTCATGCTGAATTAAAGACAGTCCACCAACATACCATTAGTTGGACTTTTGCTTGCAGTGGTAGATGGGTGGGTGGTCTCGATGCCGCAAACACTGTCAGAGGTGTTAGTACCCTCTCTAATCGTGAACATCCCTAGTTCTGTGCAGCTACAACACAGACGCACACACATGAGCACATGCACAGCTGTGAACAAATGTACACTTACATGTTCTTTATGTCAGTAAACATTGGCAATAACCAAACAAAAAAACAGAACAGAGTAAACAAACATGATTCTTCCATGATCTTAGTGTATCTTGCGTGACAGCTTGCACAAAAAAGACTTGAGAAACGCACCTGATTGTGCATCCTGGGATCCACCTATAACGGTGCTATAGTGACTACCAGTATCATCCAGTATGACGAACTTCAGGAAAACTGACCGTCACTGCTACTGACGTGGCAGCTCATATTTTCCACCACTGTTCCCGCACTGTACCACCCCCCCACCCCTTGAATGAAAAAGCCCTTCAATCCCAGTAACTTTTTCCACAAAGCTGAATGAAAGTTTACACTGACAGGCCTTCACAGTCCGTCTTGGACTGCAGCCCTGTTTACGGTGACCCCTGTGGTCCTCTGTGTACTGCCCACCCTGTGTGACCCAGCTCTGTGCATGCGGCCCCGTCTTGCATTTACTTTGTGTGCGGCATGCAGCCGTTGGCCTTGACACGGGAGGTGACGTTTGTAAAGGTTCCGGATTTGCACAGCTCGCATCTCCGGCAGCTGTACTGACTGTTGCTGATGCAGAATGTCCCCTGGATACAGTGACACTCTCTGTTGACAAACTTGCTGCAGGGCTGGATCTCAATCCTGTATGGCCCGTCTGCCAGTACATACAGAGCAGACAGAGTTAACTGCAGGTGTCCAGGCCGCCTGGGTGGCACCTCTTTACCTCGACCATGATAAGGACGACACCGAATTAACTGTAAAGGGGACATAACAGACTCCCCACTGGAGGCTAGGGAAAGCAACGGGAAGGCCTACCTGAGCAAGTGCGGGTGCATGGCTCGCAGGTAGGCTGGCCCTGCTTCATCACCCAGTAGTAATGTGCATTACAGGGGACACATCGATTCTCTTTGGGCACCATGCCTGCATGGAAGAAGGAGTTTCACCTTTTAGTCAGAGTGCAGAAAACTCATCCTGGGAAAGCTGGGAATTAAGGTGACAGGGGACCAAAAAATTCTGAATGTAATTGAATTGGTCTGGGCTGGGGCCCGATAAGACAGGCGGCACCAGAAACCCTTAGGATATGCAACCTCTACCTTGAAAGATAATAGGAGATTAATGCAGCCTGATATACCAGGAGCGACCACGGGGGATCAGAAGATTCACCCTGACGTCACTATGGCATCACAATCCCTGCAGCAAGGCTAAAACAATGGCAGTTTAGCCTAACACTTCTGTGTGTGATGTCTGAGACACAGGATGGCTAGAGATTCTCAAACAAATTTTCCTCTGACAGGGAAAAAAAGGCACCAAAACTGAAACATGAACACAATCTGCCTTCCAGCTTCCTTTGTAAGAATTCCCCGCCCCCCCATCATCCCTCCTTGTCCTTAAACAGGTACTTTGTTGATGTTTTCAGACCTTACCTGCTGGCACAGCCTATGCTGTTTTAGGATCCGCTGAGTGCTGGGCCACAGACGGGGAGGGGAAGCCCCACCTTTTGCTCTTCACCTCTTATACCACATCAGAAGGCATCTCCATCGTCTACAGTCTGGGCCTCCCACAGCTCTACGCAACACGGCACCCAGACTCCTGCGTCAAGTCTGCGCACCCGCCTTCCCAACCCCACTCATCACTTCCTGTTCACCTTCAGCGGGACCTTTTGAGATTCTTTCCTCCCTTTCAGAAACCCAAGTCAGGTTCACGAGGGACAGGAGGCCACACTGGAGAGCATCGGGTCTCCTTCATGCTAACCTTTCCAACTTTTTTTTTCTAAAGGGTAAACTAAAAGACTGGAAAATGTAAAATATAGTGTAGAGAAAGTGAAAAATACGTTTTTTTTTTTTTTTACCTTTCTCACATTCCAGGGTAAGACTGGTGTCCACCAACTGCAGAAGAAGAGCCTGCAGAAGCCACTGCAAGAGAGATATGGATAAGTGGGGGGGGGTTAAACAACAGCAGATTCTTAATCATAAAAAAACCCACATGAATTTTACACAACAGATCACATTCCAGACTGCAGATCACATTGGTACAGTTACCATGCTCTGTGACCTAATGGGAATTCATAACTTTGTAACCAAGCTTTCATGTTTAGTTCATTATTTTCCCTCTGAGGTGTTTCCTTCTACAACCGCCATCTCTACAGCAGTGCGTATTTTTGTGGCTGTCAGCTAACATTAGCTCAGTACACTTTGCAAGTGGCGAAAGTGGCAGTCCAAACTAGCAGCGATGGTCACACTTTGAGCTGCCGGCAACAAGGACAAACACTTCTGAAAACAAGCTGGGTTTTTAATTATTCATCACGCTAGATGTCCCCCAGTCAGTGAAGATTAGCACCCATAAGGGACTAGTCCCATACCACATGAAAAATATTAAGAATGACCTGATCTCGTTGTGATATCACTGGGTGAAACCGAAAACTGTGGTTTGAGTCCAAAAGTTAGGTTGTGGTATGGTACCATGGAATCGCGATAAAGACACAGTAATTACATGTGATTTTAATCTTTGAAGTTCTGCTGTTCATATTTTAATTCTCCAGCCATTGAGCAAGCAGCTGATGACCATGTGATCTCACACAGCAAAACTTCAACAGATATGGAAACCCCCGCTCTTGGCAGGGAGCTCACTCTACTCACTCACGCTACTGAAATGGTTGGAATGGTGGAGGTGGGGGGGCGGATGAGCCAACAGTTGGTCATCATAAAGACCCATGACCCTTACAATAGCATGTCAGCTGGTGATGATTCTTTATGTGATGGGGGTCATGGCTGTAGGAGGTACGAGAGAAAACAGGACATGCAAAGACCAACCACCTTGCTTTCTTGGAAACTGCTACTGTTAAAACCCTTCCTGTATGAAATTTCGCCTCCTAACTGATACTCACCCCTTCACAGAACGCTGAATATCAGCCTGATTTGTTGTTCACACATTAATACTGTTATGGCAGCACCGCAACCCAGTATAAAACTGAAAGTCACAGAAACAGCACACCAGCCTGGATTGGTGATCTGCAAATTTGAGTCCAATATAATAGCAGACATTTCTTTTATGAGGTCATCACAGCTCTAGAATTCCGGGATTCTCAGTTAATTAGCCTTTCAACTAACTCTGACAGCCAGAATCAGAGGTGCAGTCAAAAAGTTCCAGGAGCTACATTATATATGCTCATCCCAGCTACAACCGGTGCCGAACTTTTGTCATGTTTCTCCCATTAAAAATAAAAAAATAAAAAATCATAAACACAATTAATTATTTGTTTTCTTTATCCATCTTCAACCTCTTCCTCCTGAATAGCCTGTTACAAGTTCCCAAGCCTCAATCCCACTTTAACACCCATAACAATCATCTAAGTTGTTTTTTGAAGTCTCTGTTCATACGCTCCAGTCATTATGTGAAGACAGGACACTCATTTGACTCTTGACTGTTTTGAGTGGCAGGTGCAGTATTCCGGCCCCACAGCAACAAGAAAGTCAGTTTTGCATTTTCTGTGTTTTGCACCGAGGTGCAACAAGTTGCATTAGCTACATGCCTAACAATGCTGTCGCATGTATCCTGCCCGCCAAATTCTGAAAACATGAAATTTTGCTTTCTTGCTGAACATCACCGTTTGCCCGTAGATCAGTCAGATTCCTTTTGGTAGGACAACATCACTTCTGCAAAGAGACTGTCGAGGCTCACAAGATTTGCACATGGTCACTTCCCTGGAATGTCTGTTGCCATATTTGCAGCTTGCTTTGCAATACAGGGAGGCCCCTAATTTGTTAATGCACTCTGAGGAAATACCACCTGTTTAGGAAGCACCATTTCCATGCATCCACAGTAAGTGCTTTGTGAACATGTCAGGTAGTGGCTCTCGCTTGGAGAGTCTGGTGCAATCGGACGGGTTTGGGATGAAAAAATAGGCATGTTTTCCCTGTCCTCCCATGGCCCTGCATTAGATAAGTAGCTTGATGAAGGATGGATGGATGGAGGGATGGAAGGATGGATATAATTTATATAACTAATGAGTCTGAAGTCCCAATGAAAAAACTGGTCTTCACAAAAGTCTTCACAGAAGTATTTTAATGGAGGCAAGCGGCTTGCTCAGGATGTATCAAGATGCTACATCATGGAAGGGCTGTGGGACAAACCAATACCGCAAATAGAAATGTGATTTTGATTAAGAGTTATATCAATCAAGTTTGCATCTCTCCTTCTAAAATTACAATGACTGTAAAAAAGCCAACCATAACAGTAAACAGGTATTGGTCCGGTTTCTGTTTCTGAAGTTGTTTACTTGTGGTCTAACAGCAGAAAAGATCTCTCAGGCTTGTTTGTTTAAAACTGAAGTCTGATATGAGTGGGATCCTTGCTTGTAAATGAGTCCATCCTTTATCGAAAGGCCCCTTTTTTAACCACTGTTGGCCAGACATGGCATAGATCAGAACATGTACACATCAAAGCTACTTTTAATAATGGGCACATCACCGAGTATGTCTTTAGATTAAGATTTGTTTAAGGAGCAGATATAGTGTGACATGTGGCTCCGGAGGTGGACTTTATCTCAACATCTAAACTGGGACAGACAGCTAAAAGGCTGATGGTTTTCTGGAATCCACTGAGTGTCTGTGGGCATGCTTGTCTGGCCACGGGTTGGCTGCCAGTAATCACTGCATGCTTGTCAGATAAGTTATCTCCTATCAGTTCTTACTAGAAGTTGAAGGTCAAACAGAAACTCTTACAAACCATTATCACTGGGACGCACAAAGCCATCTTTAAAGTCTAAAAAGCCCAAAAGGCTCTTTTCTCAACACTTAAACAAGGTGTAGAGCAATCACTTGCAAAACAAAATAAACTATATACAGCAAATACCAAAAATGCAATATTAAGTGAGCAACATACATGAAACATGAAAATATCAATGAAGCATATTTATTTCAGGATTTTGGTTGTCATTAGCCATAAAGACGGCTTCAGTGTCTCAAGGAGGATGTTTTACTCATGACTGATCTGCTTTTCAACCAAAGCATTGTTAAGCTCCATAAAGGTCAACCAAAACTTTCCCTAGGCCCTTTATGCAAACCATCATGGAGATGTTCTGCTTCAAGCTGCAATGCACAGGTTTTGTTCAATGCAAACTAATTTAGTACATCACCTAATACCAATGAACCACTGCATAGCTGCACGCACTTTTCCAGGAGTGGGTGGTGCAGTGTTTCACAGATTTGTTTATATAAAAAGTGAATTTCAATTTCTTGCACACTCAAGGACATGGCTAGAGGGGGCCCTCTCACTCACCCTCACGCATGGGCCCTTGAACATTATTCATTCTGGGTTCTTTTACTTACAGTTTCATCTTAATAACTTGATCAGAATTTTCTGGATGAAATCTTCTGCACTGTTTTGGAGTTATGTGTGGCTGAGAAAAACCTTATGATGCGGGAGATCATCGTGTCACATGAAGCGTCACAAATGTCATTTGCTGATGTCACACCTCATTATATAAAAGTCTGTGTTTTCCTTTTTTTTGTTTAGCAGACATAATATACTTTCACCAATAATAAAAGGCAGCATATTAACAAAGCATACAGCTCTGTGAAATTCTTAGGTAACCTAAAGAACAAAATTTTATAATGACGATTTATATAAGTTTAACTGTAGCAGCCAAGTAAGAAGAACAAAATGTGACTTAAAAATAGATACGTAAATCAACCAATAAATCATTGCCATAAATAAATTAAATAAATCTGTAGAATGAATGAATGAATGAATAATCAAATAAACAAACAAATAACATTTATTTATTTAGGCCATTTTTTTTATTGATTCATTTACTTATTTCCAAGTTTACAGATTTCTTTATCTGTATGTTTATAAGGTGGGCAGCCCTAACCAGACTTATCGACTAGATGGGTTCCACAGTATCTACCACAAGGAAATCGCCATTTGCAGCGCTAAGGGTAGCGGATGAGCAGCGTGAACACTAGAGCCGTGTCCCAATTCGGGGGCTGCATCCTTTGAAGGATGAGGTCTATGAAGGCGTAGCCTTTGTAGGCAGCGTCCTTCGAACGCTGAGCCAAAAGTGTTTTGAAATGGGACAGTCTGGCCTACGAAATACTTCCCTATTTATGTCACCAGCTATTCCCACTCTTACCTTTACACCACAAACCGCCTCTCCTATCACCTAGCCAGGACATGCTCATTTTAACTCAATGCAGCAATTTTACCACAATGAATCTAGCGATAGATTGGGCTACGTAGGATCCACATCCATCGCAAAACGGGAACAGGACACTTTAGCATTTTAGCAATCGGACCTTGTAGGAGCGGTGATGGACATTTTAGCACACTGCCTGTGTATGGCCCTCAAGCCTAACTTCTTCATTTGATCAGACGCCATCTGCCAGGATCGGCTGACATACTATGATGCTGTGGGGTTGGTCAACAGGACTAATTATGCAGTTGCTTTGCACCACATCGGGTACAGCTGAAAATAATGTAAATTAATGTGTATTCATATATTTTTTGTAATGTTGCAACTGTGATATGTTTGCCGCGGGCTGCGTGTGTTTCGTAGCGTGTAACTATAAGTGTCGTGTAAATTGATGGTTTCCCTGTCTGTGCCATTGCTAGTATTGACCGAAAGTGCATGTAAATAAATGACCGACTTCCATTTCAAAAGAGCTGTCATCTTTTATCAAAATGACTCACGCAGATATCAGGTAAGATTTTTTGCGCTCTGTATGTGGGTCTGCTGCATCGAAAACATTCTTCGTAAAACTCGATTTTGTTTTGTCCGGACGTCGTTTCAAGTATGCGGCTGCCGTATCTTCCTTGCATACTTATTCGTCTGCTTTAATGACAGTCTAAATAGTACAGTTATTGGTGCGCTTAAATTGCGCTTTTACAGACGGACATGGTGCTAAACTATCAAAACAACGTCGTGATGACAAGTTGCTCATCTTTGACTAACAGCAGACATCAGTGCTTTCGACGAAGCCCATAAATTCTTTCAATTATTCTGCTAGCTATCATTAGCCAACAAGAACCCTAGCTAGCGTTTCTTCTCATCCAATCAAGGCCAAAGTAATGGAGCGCAGATCAACAGTCCACCTGACAAATAGGACTTTAGAAAAAAGTTAGTGCTGCCCACCTCATTAATATACAGATAAAGAAATCCGAAAATAAACCTGGAAATCCGTACATATGGAAATAAATAAATGAATTCAAGTAAATAAATCTTTGGTATAAATTGTAATATTTTTATTTAATTTTCATTTAATCATTCGTTTATTTATGGCAAGGATTTATTTTTTGTTCATTTGTACCATCTATCCATCCATCTCCAAAATGTATTCATTGATAGCTTTATTAATTTTTAAGTCAGGTTTCGTCCTCCATAACAAAGTTAAAGAACTGCTCATTAAAACTTTTAAAAACATAGATGTGTCAATGCACTTTTTTTTTGTAAAGAAGCAGCGTTTTCTGAGTGTCATGATGTTGTTTCAGGCATGTACAAATATCTGCGACTCACCTATAGTTAAAATGCACTCCATCACATAAAAATATAAACTCCACTGGCCTATGTTTACTAGTTACCAATCAAGTTACAATGGTTCAGAGTAGGACACAGAAAGACTAACTGCGCTTGGCTTCGCGGTTCTTGCTTGCCCTGCTCTCCGTTGCGGCGAGGCGGCGAATGAGGTGGCCGTTAACACAAGTACGGTAAGCAGAACTCATGAGCTCAGCCGTAGTAAGGCTGTCTTAACAGGAAACACACTAATAGCCACTTCCACTAATGACTAGTAAGGTTTTGCTTTATGATGGTAATCTTAAGCTTGCCTGTCATTGAGTTTCAATATGCATCTAAGTATCTGTATCTAGTCCTCCGCATTCTTTTTTTTTTTTTTTCGGGGGGGGGTACGCCATTCATAATGCGAGTGACATTATTACTGCAAATGACACTTCAACAGTCTCAAAACGGTGCGTATCAAATTGATTGTGACACGGAATAACAAACAAAATTTCGTTAGGTCACACAGATCTAAGCGTTATTTATTGGGGATTTTTCATCGTTTGTTTGGGGAAAAAAAAAAGATTTATTAACTTATATATTAAAAAAAACCGGCTATAACGGCACATTTAAAAAGACAACAACGACAATAATATAGACTGAAAATCACGTCAAATCAAACATTAAAAAGACAATCAATTCATTTACTCCACGTTAGATGCATTAAAAAGTTTTACATACATTGGTTCAAGCACATCCAGCCAATTCATCAACGACATGGCACTTTCACATAGATGATAGTTGATTAGTTATGCATTATATTCACTGTCCATATTTATTTTTTCCGCTTCGATAACACTCTGTACAAACACCAGGTAATGTATTCTTATATGCCTGTTACCTCTTTCTCTTCTCTATTGCTTTTTTCTTTTGTCTAGTATTAACTATTAACTATTAATTATCAACTATTAATGTTGAAATTGCACTTTTACAAAATTATATCACTGCTTGCAATTTCCACCTACCTACCATCCATCAATCCACGCATCCATCTACCCTATATAAAGCCCCAATAACACCCCAGTTAAACAATATCTCGAATGGGTGCCACGGTAGATCGTTGGACAGCTCTGTTATTTCGCTCCTGCAAGCTTTAGGGTTCACTGCGTGCAATTTGCATGTCCGTTTTTTACACACGGAGACTTTTTCTAAATTGCCCATTGTTTCTTTGCGTGTCTCTTTCCCCGATATGGACAGCCATCCCGTTTACAGTGTTCCTCTGCCTCTTGACTACCCCCGCGACCCTGCCTTAGATAAGCGGTTCGACGACGAATGGATGAACATCGTCTTGAAACAGCCCTTCCACACATACCAACCCCCTGGCGACACCACGACATTGCACTGATTACTCACCGGGATGATATGAAACCCTTTTTTCGAGGAGCGGAAGAACCAGCGGTGGCATCCCATCGTAGCAACTATGATAATAAGCCAGAGGAGAAGATTATTTATGAAATTAAAAGGTCAATGAAATGAATAAAAATCGGGACTTCGTTCCAACTGTCACTGAACTAGAGCGACGCTAGTACGCTGTTCATTTCTCGCGCGCCGGTGGGCTGCGCCTCAGACGCAAGTGCAGCGCAGGCATTGGGTCTGCGGCTTTGTAAGGCGCGCGGAAGGCGTGGCGTGCCTGCACGTGTCCGGCCCAGCCGGCTTTAAAGGGATACGGTCACGGTGACATTCACGAGACGACATTACGTTATTGACAGTGCTTGAAGTGGGCCGGAACGCAGCGGAACGCAGTTCCAGAACTTATATATTTTCGTCTTTTGGGTTCCGCCACTTTTTTCTGCGTTCCGGTACTTACTGAAACTGATCCGACGCAGCGACAGTGGCCCGAGAATAGACAATATCACAAGACCGATAAAAGACTACATGTTGTTTTAATGGTTTTTCAATATTCCATTTGTGAATTAGAAAAAAGTAGCCTATCCATCTACCCTATATAAAGCCCCAATAACACCCCAGTTAAACAATATCTCGAATGGGTGCCACGGTAGATCGTTGGACAGCTCTGTTATTTCGCTCCTGCAAGCTTTAGGGTTCACTGCGTGCAATTTGCATGTCCGTTTTTTACACACGGAGATCGTGTGTCGTGGTGTCGCCAGGGGGTTGGTATGTGTGGAAGGGCTGTTTCAAGACGATGTTCATCCATTCGTCGTCGAACCGCTTATCTAAGGCAGGGTCGCGGGGGTAGTCAAGAGGCAGAGGAACACTGTAAACGGGATGGCTGTCCATTGCTTGGAAGAATGATTAAATTAAAATAGTTTTTGAACCAACACATCCTAAAGACTTGATTTTTTTTTCACCGCACAAATGCCAAATGTCGGAAAATTAGAGTTCCTGCACTTTTTTTTCCCACTTCAAGCACTGGTTATTGATGTATTTATTTTAGTCATATAACAACAACAATAATAATATTAAAAATCCAAAAAAAGCAAGTAGCGTCATAAAATTAATAATATGATACGCGCTTCTTGTATACGACAAAAATAGAACTATTAGCTATTACAATGCAATTCATTCAATTCAATTTTAATCACTCTATAAACATTTATAAATTAATTCCTAATAACTGCATGCTTTGGGATGCTGGAGGAAAAACGCATAACACGGAGAGAATATGCAGGCTCCATTCACACAAAGGGAGTCGGGATTCAATCTCATTCCTGAACTTATTAGCCACAATTACACCTGATACATTAATATAACACTGTTTTTTAAACGTCCCCCAAATATGTGGAAACAGCTATGAAAAGATAGTAAGTGGCTCTAACTTTTAATGTGGACATTATTTGGCGTATTTTACTAGTCTGGGTTTCCACTGCAAAATCGCTCTTTACATTCCTTCCTTCACGTTCGCTTTTTAATATGTCGCTTATTATTCCTGACATTTCTATATTATAAGGTAATAAAGTTAATAATTTCAGTCAAAACTGAAAATAAAAAAACCACATAGCACCACAAATAAATAAAATTTGTTCCCCACAGAGCTAGCAAAACTTGAAAATGACATATCCAAGCTTGCTCTCATGAGCTCACCTTTGCTTTCTAATCCTGTTTCCATTCAAGAGCTTTGTTATTAAGACTACTCCATAAGGCCAGTACTGAGGCAACTGGTCCTTCCAGAAGTCTTTAGTTGGTTGAGGTGTTTCAGTCTGTGTCAAGGTTGCACCTCAGCAAAGCCAGTCTATGTTAGTAATGCATGACTTGCCTCCCACTAACACCAATTTCCTTCTTCAGATTTTGGATTTAAGTTTTACTTTTTATTAGTGTTGTAGTTCTCGAGACCGGTCTTGGTCTCGAGACCAATTTTTTGTGGTCTC